ATATTATAGCATGATACATGTTACACAATTCAATTTATTTATATTGGATAATAATCTAAACGTTACACTTTTTTTTTTAGTTATATAGATTGAAAATTACAATTAACGTCAGAAAATTAATTAATATGCATACTTTATTAAAGAGAGAAACAACTATTGGATAGTATCAAAAATTGACTATAATTTAAAACAATTAATTTTTTATTTAATAAAAATAGTTCCTTGGACCATCAATAAAAAAAAATATGTAATCACGTGAATTTGTTTATTATTCTGACAAGTTAATTTCGCATGATCTAACTCTATTGTCAAAAGTTCTTTTTATTGCTACATATTCGGTTAGTCTTTTAGTTTTTTATTTTATGATCATGACAACCAATCGTTTCTATATTACTATGTAGTAGTACCAAGCCCCGTGTCAAATTCTTTAGTCCGACTGCGTTGCGATTCTCATTTGAAATCAACCACCATAATTTTATTATTAACACACTCATCTTTAACAACCCTTTTTTCGAGAGTAAAACAAAAAAAAATAAATAAATAAAATTAAAATATTATACCATTTTTACCGATCTGCAAAATCGTCAATATATTCGCACATGACGCAATGATTGATTAAAAACGTGAGAAAGTCGACTATTTTATGATAGACTAAAAAATCAATGATCAATACAAATTGAGTAATGAAGTTCCTAGATGATAAAAGTTTACAAATTAAGTAATCAAGTTCCATAAAATTCACTCATTTAATTTCAATAAAAGTGTGATTAAAATCAAAATCGTCCCCGTTCAATAGATTATGTTTTCCTAAGTCAAACCTGAAAATTATTAACGAGAATGCCGTTATTGACATCGTTTACGATTAATGAACTTTTTTTCATGATCATTTTCTTATTTTTAACAATTTACACCGCTCGCTTTTATTTTCGCTATTTTACACGAAAAAACAAGCTTCCCGGACGTTTTCCACTCCCCTTCTTTGGTACCCTACTTTATTCTTATAATGTAGATCTGTTAAAATTTCTTAACGAATGTTATGAAAGGTATGGACCAATTTTTGAGACATACATCGGAGACAATATAGATACCCATCGAGAGGTTTATTTATGTAAACCAGAGTATCTTGAAAAATTGTTCACCACTTCAACAAAATGCAATTTTATATTACGAAGTCCAAATGATGATGGAATTAATGAATTGGGATTCGGTAATAGTGGTATGGTCATGAACAGTGAATTAAATAGTTGGAAAAGAAATAGGAAATTATCCGTGCCCTTGCTCATGAATACAAGATTTTTAAAAAGTCAAGTGCATGTGACACAGGTGTTGTTTAAGGAAATGGAAAATTATTGGAATTTGTTATATGATGAAAGTATCGTGTTGGAAATTACTAGTTGGATAAACAGTTTTACCCTGGATTTGGTTATTACCTCATCATTGGGTAAACCTTCTTTTGCTTTAAAAACCCTTTATGACAATTTGCTCAAAAGTGGTGGTACAATCAAAAAGAAAGAAAATACGAGTTCAAGTGTATGTGAATCAAGTGAAGTACTTCTTAGACAGATTAAATCATTTTTCAAAGCGATCGGATTCTTTAAACAACCATCTTGGTTACGTCACACATTTCTTATTTACTACAATAATTATTATTTGAACGAAATGAGGTCGCTAAACAACCGTATAGAGAATTACATTAAAGTCCGTCGTGATGAAATTCTTTTGGAAATGAAGAATGGAAAAAATGTTCAAGAGGATAGGCGGGACATTATGTCTTTATTTCTTTTGAAGTATTCGATAAATAAAAATCAAGATGACGATGAGCAACATTCCAAGGAAAACTTTGATGATGTGATTAGATCAAATTTAATCGAAGTCTTAATTGGTGGTGCTGAATCGGTATGCAAATATAAGCAATTTTTTTTTTAAAAAAAAAAATATAAATTAAAAGATTATACTTTTTTGATTTGTAGACATCAAATTCAATAAGTTTCATCGTATATTATTTGTGTAAGTATCCCCATGTGAAAAAAAAGTTATTTGATGAAATCGACTTGATTCTCTCATCAAACACATTTCGTGAAATTACTTTTGAAGACATTGAAAAATTCGAATACGCGGAGGCCATAATTAAAGAAGTGTCAAGGTTTTCACCGGTATCCCCTTTAATTAGCCGTAGTAATGTAGTAGAAGACGAAATAGATAATTATAGTTTTAGAGAAGGCACACAATTCCATGCTTTCTTGATACAAATTTATAAGAATCCAGAATATTTTACGAATCCTGAAGAATTTAATCCTGATCGTTTTATGAAAGGATCCGAAAATGTTTTACATAATAAAACTTTTTTACCATTTGGTTCTGGATTGCGCATTTGCCCAGGTAAGCAAAGTGCCATAGTAGTTTTGAAAACATTTTTAATGTGTTTCTTTAGAAAGTATAATGTTGAGTTTTTGGACGAAAACCAAAAATTGAATACGTGGTTTGATTTTGGACTTCATTGTGTAGAATATAAAGTTGTTATTAAACAGAGATAGTTGATATATAACGTTTTGGTGATTAAGATGTATTACGTCATCTACAAATAAAAAATATATATCTTTGAATTTCAATAATAACGTAGGGTAATTTTAACAATCAAAGTTTCTTCATTTCAAAACTTTAATTAGTCGCTTTAGGTTAATAATTTTTCTTAGAGAACAAGGATATCCCAGATCAGATATTAAAATAACGATTCCAGTGATGACAAGTGACTTTGATGACAGCTTATTTAAAAAACTAAATGATCATATCTTATGCAACTGCTGTTTGTTTAAAACTTTCAATTAAACATTATTTCACAAATTTAACTAATGGAATTTAAATGTATCCAAGTTTTTATAAATCAGTCAATTACTAATTATCGTATTTTTTAATTTATGCTTAAAAACCGTTTCTAGAGTAGTTAAAAAAATCTATGTACTTTACTCATTTCAGGTTTAAAAATAAAGTTCAGATTTTCCCGATAAAAAAATTTTTTTATATATTGTAGAATCATATCGTGATCGATTACTTCCAAAGTTATATTGAATCAACTTATTTTTAATTTCAGATAAAATTATAAATCCAATGACCAAATGACCCAATTTATTTCAAATGACAAAATGTCATTGAGTCATTTAAAAATTCCTTGTTATTTGCTATCACTGCGATCTACTACTTTTTGTACTGACATTAGAGAGAAAGAGTTTTTGGGCTTAACAGTCACCGGACAAGCCGCATGTCGATACTAGCAAATTGGTCGATCGACATTTTGATTGCAAAAATTTATATCCAATTAAATTTGCATCAAAAATTCATAATTGAGATTGTTTGATCGCGTTGTTCTTGAACTGTTCGTTCGAGCTGTTAGTTTAAACCATTTAATTTCACTTTTTTTTTGTGTTAAAAATATGTCAGAACATAGAAAGGTAGAAAATTTATTATCTTTTTATATCTTTAAAGCTTATCACGATATGGAAGATGAAGATTTATTTTCATTCGGCACTATCCATTCTAATATCAAGAAAAAATATTGACTTAAATGGTGAACATCTAAAAATATTACAGAAAAATTAATCGGTATAGAGTATTTAGTTATTGATGAAAAAAGTATGTGGAATGACGTATGCTCGTGTTAATCGACATGCGACTACGTCCAACCTTCCCTAAATACTAAAATCAAGTCTTTGGTGGCCAATCAGTCATTCTGGTTGGTGATTTTGGCAGCTCCTGCTGGTGCTAAACGAACCTATGTACTCACATATTTCTCGACATGATCTGTTATAAAACGATGGTATTTACAGTATATAATCAGTTCCGGGAAGTCTATAAGCTCGACGTTATTTTAGTCAGTCTGGAAATTCTGATGATCAGGGTCATATTAATGAGGATGCGAAATAATGAATCCACATTGAATGACTGGAAAGTCCTTGCAACGAGATTTGCTGATGCACCAACTGTATCACCTACAGAATTCTTGGATGCCACATGCGTTTTACCTAAGAATTCTGATGTTGCCGAATTTAACATTGATAGATGCAAATCGCTAAACTGCCTTGTTGCTAGAATCAAAGCCATTTATATAGGTGGTAACGAAGAATTTGAGGCTGATTCAGATGAAGCAAAAGGACTTAAGTGTCAATTATTTTTGGCAAGGGGTTCAAGGGTTATGCTCAGGACAACTTATGAACTGAACCTGGTTTAGTAAACAGTCCTGCAGGTACTATTCAAGAAATTATATTTGAAGAAAACCAATCACCTTCACTTCCTGATAGAATTTGACAACTATTCTGGCTCTGCTATTATTACCAAAGGTAAAAGGATTGTTCTAATTTCTCCAGTTAGACACAGCTGGGAGGAAAAAAGAGGAACTTACACACGGTTACAAGTCCCTATTTGTCTTGCATGGGCCATCACAATACATAAAAGCCAGGAATTGACGTTGAAAAAGGCAGTGATAGATCTTGGGAAAAACGAGTATGCTGCTGGACTTTCATTTGTAGCAATTTCATGGATTTATGCTCTCCAAAATATCATTTTTAGTCCCTTTTCCTTGGAAAGACTTCAACGTATTAAAACTTGCAAGAGACTTCAGGAGAGAATCGTTGAAGTGAAATGTTTAATAACAATGATTCCTAAAATAAATATATAACAATTTTTGATGTAACACTATTTATTATGCATTTAAATTGTGATGGTTAAATGTTTATTGCACATGGAATTTGCGGAAAGTAGTCTTCAGACGCTCTAACGGTTCCCATTACCTAGTAATATAAAAAAATTGAAAACTTACTCCCTATGGTATTAGATATTGTTTAATTAATAAGTTTTAATTATATAATAAATTAAGTATGGGTAGTGTGCTAATTAAAATTGAGGTACAAATCAAATGATTTACTATGTCTTGTACTTTAATTTTAATATCATACCATTCATATCGATATATAAAAATTAAATCATTTACAAGCTATAATTATAATAATATAAAATAAAAAATTTAATTAATAAAGAATTATTAGCAAATACATAAATGTTCATTAAAATGATATAAATTATATTACCATTTAAATCTATACTGAAAATTTGATATTTTATTAATTAGAAATGAATTATTTAATTTAATCCTTAATATAAATTAACTTCATACTCAAATCTCTGAAATAATAAACAAATTTATTATGTATTTTAAATAAAAATGAATAAAGCAAAATTATTGTTATCTCCTACAAATATAGAAAATTTAAATGAATATATATTTAAATAATTAATATAAATAAACTATTAATTTCATAAATCTTAGTAAATTCTTCACAAGCATTTAAATTCCATGTTTCATTTGGTTTGATTTCTAGTAATTTGTTTAAATCTACAAGTGATTCCTCATATTTGTCCATAATACAAAAAGTTTCTCCTCGATATCTTAATGCAAATGTTTTATTTGCCTCAAACTCTAGCAACCTTTTTAAATCTGAAAGCGCTAGTTGATATTCACCTATAACAAAATAAAATTTCCTCGGTATTTTAGTACGTATACGTGTTCAGTATCTGATAATTGTTTAAATCTGCAAATCCATTAATCTGTTGACCTAATCAATTTATCATTATATGGATTAAGAATTTCAGCCCAATGATCCTTTAAAGATTCATCAATATCATCATCATTCATTACTAAAAAATAATTATTATTATAAAGTAAAGAAAAAAGGAAACTAAATAAATATACCTGTATATTTAAACTTTCTATAGCCAAAGTTGCTTCTACAGATCCACCTGGTAAAAACATTCCAACGCAAGGATGCATAGCATTTTTAGAATCTCGGAATGCAATTCCTTAAAATAAACAATAGATTTTAAGTCTCTATTATTTTCCGTTTCTTGTATAAGTACCATATTATTTCTAAAGTTTAAACAACATCCGATAGTATCACCGGTCATAAATGCTGTTCCATATGATTCACCATCATTCATTTTCATGAGCTATCTTCCCAGCCTACAATAAAATAATTCAATAAATAGTTTTTATTTAAGCTGATAAAATAAGAGTAAAATTACCTGGCATTTTATTTAATCTAGCTGATTTTGTGCAAAACCCGATTCCAATCTCCCTATCGAATTTAAAAATAGAATTAAAAATTATCATTTGAAAAATGGAATTATCGTCAAATTTTGAATAATCAACTTATCCATTTTCCCCTTTATCTTTAATGTCAACTTCAAAATAAAATAATCCACATTGTTCAGGAATTGGAAAATTTGATCTAATGGCAGCACAGTTTTCATATCCACCCAGACCTTCATATTTGAAAATAATTGTAGTCAAGAATAAGTGATTCTATACGAAAACAGTAAAATTATAATTGTTATACAACATGAAATGTAATACGCTCACCTGTATAAGTCACTATAAGCTTGTTTTAATTAAATTTTCCATCCCATGCGGTTGGTGATTCAATATTGTTGTATAACCGTATGATTGATTGATTATTGATGGATGATGATAGTTTGATTTTATGCGTACTACATTCTTATGTTGAAGCTTTAAATACGTTGCGAATTTATTTTTTGTTTAAGGAAAAATAAAAAACTTTTATAAATGATTCTTTACTTTTTAATCCTGGCGCTGCAATCCAAATTGAATTAATATTTATCTTCAAATAAGATATTGGCATTTAAATGTGGCTTTGCTGCAAATAATTAAATGATAATATATAGGGTATAATGTCCCTCGGAAATATCAAGAAAAAAATCATTATTATCCATGATTAATGCTTAAAAATAATTTCGTTGATATTTCTTACATTTAAAACATATAAATTTATAAATGTATCAAAATTTATAAATTTTGTAGTGAAAATAAATTGAAAATAAATAAATTATAATTACATTACCTTCAAACGTAAAATAATTATTGACAATTGAATCTTATTTTGCTTAAAATACAAATTGAGAATCATTTAATGATTAGAAATGATTTATATTTATCTTAATCATTGGAACTACCTTCTAATTCATCTAATGAAAAAGTTTTCTTAGCATCTAATGTTTTGCAATTTTATTTAAAAATTTTAGAATACCGTTTCAGTCCAACGTTCGAATAAAATTAATACAATATTTCTTTTTTATTCTTTATTGTCTATATGTAAATATGTATATCAAGCGATGTTTGACGCAGAATCGTAATTGAGTCAAAAAAATCGAAATATATGGCAACGAATTTTTTAAATACGTAGCGGTAAGAGTGATAATATTGCTTTGCTTCTTTTTATCTCAATTACTAATCCCCGATTTATATTTTAGTTTAGAAATTACTTAATCTCAGTGAAGTTCTCTTTAGGGGAATATTATTTTACATAGTCTGTGTGGATGGTAGTGATATAGATAGAAAAAATTTCGTAGATATAAGTGCGATAATTTATTGTGATGTGAATCTTTTAGTTAGAGATAAAAACAAATTAGCTGTAGAGCAAAGAAATAACTTGATGCTGGAACTCGCTTTAAATGGCCTAGAATCCGCGTACTCCCTCCCTCTTTGATAGCATCATATGTTTCATATCATTTCTCTCTGCACGGGTGAATCCGATATATAATAAATACTTAAGATGACTCGAATTTTATAATCATTTTTTATCAAGATAATTGATATATCAGTAATATCAGTATAAATAGTATAAATAACTTAATTATGAGGACTTACAAAACGCGTTCTCATAATAGTTTAATCAGATTTAAGACGCGTTCATATAGCTTAATAAAAGTTAATTTTAAACCATATATATATCTCCAGAAAATCATTTTTTTCTTTAAAAGACTCATCGATTCCTTTTTCAACATTTATTTCTTAAATAGTTAAATAAAAAAATGTCTAACGCAAGTTCTATCTTTACGAATATTAGCGAACTTCCTTTCACTAATAAAGAAAGAACCGAGCTACGCATTTTTTTTGCTTACAACGACGCAACTAAAGTAGAAGCAATTCTTTCAACGATTACAGAAGATGAAGCGAAAGTTGAATTTTTGAGGGGATATGTCGATAAGTCAAGAGGTAAGCCCTTGCGCCATGACCGGTAACTTACTGTCCAGTGTCTCGTCCAGTAACTGACTTTGCCTCCTAACTCAATTTAGATGAACATCAAGGTAAGCCTCTGCATCGTAATTATGGGTCAACTCGACTAATCTTTTTTGATAGCCGTCACGCTTGCCGACTCTTTGACTAACTTTACCTTTACACAGAGTCTTCTACCAAGCGCAGAACACTTGAATACAAACAGAAAAACAAAAAATTGGATGAATTTTGGAGGGACCTGAAAAGTGTTAAAATTAATGAATTGAGTGATGACGAAGCGTTCCTCCGGCTGTCCGAGGGAATCACTTTTTTAGGGAAAAAAAAAGGACCTTCTATTTTATACATTCGCAGATGTTACCGTGACATGAAAGAAGTCGTCTTTAAAGATAGTACAAGAACATTACGTATCACAGGAAATCCGGGAATCGGAAAAACATTTTTCGGTTTCTACTTGCTTTACTTGCTTTCGCAACAGGAAAACATAAGAATTATTTATACAAATTTTAATGAGCAAACCACGATTGTCTTTGATGGAGAAGAAGCCTTCACTACTTACGACGAGATCCTTGTTGGTAAATACTTGTGCAGCGAAGACACTTGGTATATAGCAGATGGCATAGAACCAAAGAATGTTAATGCCAAAACGATTCTTGTATGCTCGCCTAGAAAGGAACACTATAAGCGTTTTGATAGGTATCATGGTAGGATAGTACGCTACATGCCGGTATGGTCTTTCAAGGAAATCGAAGTATGCAGGTCTAATATCTTTAAAGATATTGGCAAGAATAAAGTTGAAAAAATGTACAATGAGTGGGGGGGAATTCCTCGCTTTGTATTGGAGATGACAGATGATCATTCTCAAGCAGGACTTGAACAAGCAATTAATAATGTTAATCAAAATATATTATACTTTGTTGGTGAATCAGAAGGAGACATTGACGCTAGTAACAAAATTGTACATATTTACACTAATGATGATCCAAAAGAGAATGAAGAACCCTACACAAAAATAATTATGCGGTTTGCGTCTGAATATGTTGCCGGAAA